AGAGAGGGATGGTTAAAATGTGCTCTTTTTTAAACCATCGGCCTATTCCTAGTAACTATTTTCATACGTATGGAATTGGTGCCTTTCCTTTTGGCTTAAGCTATATTTAACTGCTGAGATGGTGGGGGGTCCATAACCGGAAATACAAATCTGCAGCTCCCAAGACAGAAAGCAGTTATGACTTAACTGCCAATGCATTCCTCTGTGGATGCAAATTCAGAAACTCAGGCCTCCACAAATCACAGCAGAAACAAAACCAGTGCCACTCACTTTGGTAATGGGACTAGGGAACAGTGTCGGTGCAGGAAACTGGAAGGGAAGGAACAGAAAATAAGCACAAAGTCTAAGAAGACAGGTCTAGTGGGCAGTCGTTCATTTATTTATTTGGAAGAAATGGCTATTTCCCCCCAGTACTATGGAAATCTCTTGCTTAGGGTGTGAAAGTAATTCCTGTCCATTAAAAGATGACTCCAAACCTGCTCACAATCTTCCTGCCCTCCCACCCTGCATGACTATGAACAGGTCATTTCACTTAGTTGTAAAACTTGTTCCCAGGCTGCTACTGGGCCACACTCCCACAGAAACTAGTGGGCAGAGCCACCTGGGGAGGGGAGGCCACGTGGTCTTCCTGGCCACAGCCCCCATGCTGCAGGGAAGTGCTAACTAGAGTGAAAAACCTCAGTCTCCAAGGGGACGCTTGTGGGACCAGCCCCTGGCTGCCCCTGGCTGCCCCATTGCAGCCTGTGGAACTGGATTAGGTGACATCTCAATGCCTGCCCAGCAGCTGAGCACTGAGCCCCAGGCAGAGGGACACAAAAAGCCACGCTCACCCTGTCATCTGTTCTAAAACATACATGGATATGCCAGACAGACGGAGAGAATTATAATTCATACATTCCACCTTCCTTAAAAAACAAGTCCAAATTATTGAGAAAACAACTTTCAAATTAGTACTTTTGCTTTTTCCAAAGAAGAAGAAGAAGAAGAAAAACGAAGCTGAGCTGTTATAGTGGGAAGGGAAGAGGAAGCCCCACCTGTCCCAGGGGCCATGAAACAACCTCAAACCAACACAGACTTAAAGCTTGAGAAAAGTTCTGGAAGGATCCTCTCAATTGTTCTCCAACACTGCTTCAGCATGGTTTAAAACATTTAATAACCTTCTACACGTGCAACTTTTAAAATAAGTTAGTTTATTTAAAAAACCCAAGCTGGGGATTTAGCTCAGCGGTTCGCTGGCCTGCTTTGCAAGCGCAAGGACCCGAGTTTGATCCCCGGTACCCTCCCCCCCAAAAAAAAACCAACAACAACAACAAAAATAAATAAAAAACCCAGACACTTAGGCTGACCAGCACTCAGGCCCTCAGGAGTCTGGACCGGGGTGGGGAGGGGTCCTTTGCAGGCAGCCCAGGAGCTACTGGATGGATGCAGCAGCTCAGCAAGGCTTTCTGACCACAGGGACTCCACAACTGTGGCAGCTGCAGGGTAGGAAAGCCACCAGACCTTAAAAACCTATGGCAGTGCAGCAGGTATCTGGGAACCCAAGAGGCCAAAGCCCAGGGGAGTAAGAGAGTGCCTAACAGTGCTCCAGGCTCCTGTAAGAGGAGGATGTGGGCTCAAGGGCAGCAGTTGGTCATGCAAAGCTGCTGCTGAGTGGATGGAGCTGACTGGCTCCTGGGTCTCAGAACTCTATGTTCTACATGCAAAATCCAGATCAGGTCCTGGCATATGGAAATACCACTCCTGCCAGCTCCACCCACTGCCTGGATCAGTGAGGCAGGCAGGCAGAGCCACATGGACAGGATGCACTGGCTACCCAAGTGTCCCAGTCACCTGCTCAGGGCTTGTTTGCAGCCACGAAGGCAGCACAGTGTGGAGTCCTGTAACTCTCACTAGGGGACTCAAAGCTTCTCGATGCGTGGCAAGGAGATTGGGGGTGGTGGTGGGGGAATAGGTAACACATCCCTAAATCAAGGATTTAGGATCTTAGGATTTTTTTTTTTCTATCTGATAACAAGACGCAGCAGTAGAAACATATAGGGACATCCATAAATCCTTGTAAAACAAAGAAAGAAGAACACAACTATTAAAAAGCAGGGAACACGTTAGACTGTTAAGTGCAAGTATGCCTTCATGTGCTTACCAAATCCAAACCAAAGGGATGTCCCTGCGCCTGTGCCTGCTCCAAGCCAGGCCCTGTGAGCCACGAGTTTCACCCCAGCTCCAAAGAGGGAAAAGTGCCCCGTAGAAGGCAGTACACTGCTGTGGGTACTGCCAGAACCAGAACCAGGGCTCCAAGAACTCTGCTTTACTGTTGCAAGTATCCTTAGCAGTTAAGGCTTAGGGTGACAGTGGGTGGGGAGAAGGCAAATAAGACGCACTTCTGTGCATATATACTGAGGTCAGATGTCCATGGTTACAGGAGCTAGTGCAGATGTTGGCATCGTAAGCTAGGATGCTTCTCATTTCCAATAAACAGACCAGCAGAAACACTTGCCTGATCAATTCCCAAGAAGAACCAAAGTACTCTTAGGTTCCTTCACAGCTTTTTCAATACTAAAGCAAGCTACCTCCTTCTCTGCAGAGGTTCAAGTTAAGTCATCAAAGTAAGGGGGACCTGAACCCAGCCAGGTCTTCCTGCCCCACAGAGAGCAAGGGTGAAAACAGACACACACACACACACACACACACACACACACACACACACAGTGCTGCACCTGTTCTATGCCAGCCAAGCTTGGTGCCTGAACTGAACCCCTGACCCCACCCAGATCTACACACTGGGTTCCTGTTTGCCCCTGTAACACCTACAAATGGGTAGAATTGGGCCTGTCCAACTTGTGGTCTATGGGCTGCTTATCTCCTTTTTAAAAAAGTGTTACAATAACAAGTATTAAAAAATAAAGCAAGTTCTGCTACTTATCCACATTACGTATTTTACATGTGGCCCAAGACAATTCCTCTTCACTCAATGTGGCCCAGGCAAGTCAAAAGGCTGAATTCCCATGGGCTAGATGATGTTTACCACATCCTCTGAATGCTCTCACTTAAAATATCGCTATGTGTAACACAAAAATGTTACTGGCAATGGTGGAGGGTATTTATAGAAATAGGCAGTGCCCTCCAGGGTAGCTGAAAGGCCTGTGAAGCCCTGAGTCCATGTTACAAGATAGAAGATGGAGTGCCCTACTCAATCTGGTTTAGGGTCCTCTCACTCAGTCTTGGGGCCATCTATTTGAGCCAGCCTGTGTAGCATCCTAACTGCGGGTCATCCCCTGTCCTGCCCTTACCTATTATCCCTTGTGCCTGGGAGCTGGCTCTCCTCCAAGAAGGTTTCCTGGGGGCAACAAAGAGACCACAGACTTCACTTAGGCACCAACTGCTCCTCTAGTCTGACGAAATTAAAATTCCCTGGTGCCATTACACCACACAGCCACTGCAGGCAAAAATGCCCCCTGGGCAACATCACTAAAATCTAGAAGCTGTGTGCCCCTCTGCCACCAGTGCCAAAGATGGCCAGAGGCATTCTAGGGCGTGCTTTCAGGTCATTTTTGCAAAGGTGAGATTCAACTCTCAATAATAGGGCTGGATGGAAAGGAACATGGTGGCCAACACACGTTTTACTTGTTTTTATTACACTAGGTCTGAAATTCTGAAACAGCCTGGTCTGGCACCAGATTAGGAATTATAGTAAATATTTGGCCACATCTTTCCTTCTTGGTAACCATAGTTTCCAATGTGACCTGGCTTTTTTTTTTTTTTTTTTTTTTTTTTTTTTTTTTTATCAGGGGATTGAACTTAGGACCTTGCACTTGTGAGGCAGGCGGGAGAACCACTAAACTAAATCCCCAGCCAGTGACCTGGCTTTTTAATGACATGCAGACATACCACTACTTTGAGCTGGATACCCAGGGAGAACCAGTGACAGTCACTCTCCAACATGTGTAAGTGCCTACAGGTTCACTTTCTGTAGGACTTACTAAAAGTCATGATTCTTCCACAAGGAAGCCCAAACCTGAGCAAAAACACCCCACACACGTCCTCACAGATATGCTTATTTCACACTGAACATGTTCCAGCTTTAGGAATACCATTTAAAACCTACATTTTCATCTCCCTAGTGAACCACACCCTTGTTTTTCCTGGCAAAGCCCCTGGAGTTTAAAGTCCAGAGGAGACTTTTCTTTTGATTCCACCAGAAGAAGGCAATGTTGGCAGCAGTTCCGTTCTGCCACACTTCCGTTACATTAAAGTGGGCTTATGACCACAAACATTTTGTGATGTATATGTCTCCATGTACGCTGCCTGAAAATGTGACAAACCTCATTCTTAACTTGAATTCCTTCCACATACACAGCTTCCTCGGAAAACTCTCGGGCTCCTCCTCCCGCAGCCTCAGCAGGGGCCTGGACTGGGAGTTTATCTCTCACTTCCACACTTTAGCCACAGTGCATTTTCCAAGGGTACCAAACCGGTTCCAGGAGCCTTTGTAACTGAGCGCTCAGTAGTTTACTGCCGTTTCTCATTCCCTCTCCACAGCGTTAGTCCCTCTACAAGTCTGCGCCCTCCCTAGGAGCAGTGGCTCGCTGGAGCTCTCAAAACTTCTCCCTCTCTGGTTTTTACTACAAAAACGGGGTCGCCACGCGAATCCCCAAAACATTTGCTGCACGCCGAGATTACTGGGGACGCGTCCCAGGGCAATGGACATTGCCCCTTCTCCTTGGAAGGCACTCCCTCTCCTCAGGAACCCGCCTGGCCACTTCACTTTCGGAGCGCATCACCAACACTGACACTTCGGGAGCTGAGTGCCTCGCGGCAGACAGGGGTGGTACAATCCGCTTTCACAGGACGGAAACTGAGGCTCACCCATGGATACACAGATGTCAAGGGGCAGAGCTGAACCAGAACCCAGGTCGGACGCTCCAGAATTCCGTCCGGTCTGGATGGCCCCGCGCCCTCGCCGCGCCCTCTACCCACGGACCCTCCCAGTCCCCCGCGCCCACCTCGTCGCCGAAGCGCACCAGCTTCTGGCCCGTGGGGCCACGCAGGCCGGGGAA